CTGTTTTATCTCATCATTTGATTTTGATAGCTGGGGAAAATATGGCAATATATAGTGATACTGCAATATCGTGATAATATCGTATCGTGACCCAAGTATCGCGACATGTATCGAATCGCAACACTCATGCCAATACTCACCTCTAGCTTAAAGCATATTACGGAAGGCAGGTACCAGCTGGCACATCACCCAATCAGCTCCAAGTATTGCACTAAATGTCCCGCCTTATTACAGACAGACTGAATGGCAGCCATCAACCCATAATGTACCTCCACTACGTTTTGCAGTGTGGACCAACGTAGTGGGGGTACATTTTCCCATGAGACTGGGTTGCAGCCATCCCAGATTGATAATGTAGAACTCAACCCAGTTCTACACATATCAATCTGGCTACTGTCAGGTTACCTGTAAAATCACCAGAATCTACGTTTCTCTAAATGGTTAAAAACTTCTTAAGTTCATACAGTTATTACATCCACCTCAAACTGGAGTGAGGAAAAGTAATAAAGACTCTTAAAAGCTTTGGAAATATTTAGAAATTTTTGGAAAATGTACAGTTTTGTTATCTCAACAAGCTGAAACCATGTACTGAAATAATTTTCAACAGTCAAGCAAAGGGCTCATGAGCAGTTTACCACATCTAAATAGACTTTGAATCCATTTTTAAAGAAAACTTGCTACCAAATCACTATTTTAGGCAAAGAAAGTAAGTTTCTCCACGTGTCCGCTGAAACACACCGCCTGCCTCTGTAATCCCTGTTTTTGAACAACAGCTTCCCTTTGGGACCAATTACTACTGAAATAACATTTTCCGCAGTGTTTAAATCAGCCAGCTCCTTTTACTGGTTTAAAATTGTTTTCTGGATAATTCCAGTTCTTGCATTTAAGCCTTCTGTTAGATCTTAGTGGAAAGTGAACACTCTGCTTTCCGGGCTTGTCTGTGTTTTGTGTTTCTTTGCACCTCATTGCGGCCAGTTTGACTGATGCGCATCGGTTGGTGTTAACTCATATGAGAAAAGCAGAAATTGACAGAGTTTATGAGCCATTTGTTATGTGGATAACAGAGAGAGAAAGAGAGAGAGAGAGATCGATTGCCAAACCTTATTTCCTCCACACAGTCACAGGATCCACATGCATTGGCCAAGAAAGCACAACAGCTGCACTCCAGACAAAACAGTGGCGACACGTAGCCATCGTTCTAATCCCTCTAAGCAGAGAGTGAATGGTGGATATTGTGTCTATGCATGCAGACATTCCTCTCAGTTTTAAAGTCTGATCTCAACTCGGAATAAAAATTCATTTGTTCACATCTGGGCCTGACTTAAATTTCATCCACCGACATTGCAATTTAGAGAAGCACTCCATCCTGACCACCCAGCGCACTCAGCCTCATCCAACCCCCCTGTCCCACACACTAACACATTTCTACTTATTTTTTTCTACCTTCCCAGCTCCTGTCACTCAAAAAAAGAAAAAAAAAAGTCACAGTTTTATTAAACCAGACCCAACAGGAAGTCTAAGAAATATCTCCAGACAAATCGGCTAGAGCGGCGCTGGGAGGTGGCAGCAGGAGGATGAAGAGACTAGCTCACTGAGGAGAAGTTGGGGGGGTTGAGGGGGGGCAACAGATCTGCTTATCTCCTGCAGGAAAAGCTTGTTGAAATATGTAGCAGGTGAGAACTGGGAGGAAGATACAGAGCGAGGTGCATTCAGGTTCAAGTGTGTCAAAAACTGAGATTGCAAAAAAAACAAACAAAAAAAACACTTAATCTCTGCAGATTTTCAGGCTTTTAATCTTTAAACCAATAATATACATGGGGGGGGGGTGCTCATTGTTTAGTTTATTATTTATTTAATTTATTTATTGTGGTTGTGGGCATGAGGTAATTTTCTTTTTTGTGTCAGTATCAGTTTTTTTAGAGAGCTTGATGCTAAATAAGCTCAATCTTCCCCAAATGATGCTCAATCTGACCAAATGAAACACCTGTTATTAAAATTAGCAGAGTTCACCCGCTATTTATGTTTTCAGGTACTTCTTTCAAAGCATGCCTTTATACTAACAGGTCACAGCACAGATAGAATCTACTTGCACTTTTTGGAAACTTTGTGATCCTAACATGGTTTTTCTGCAGTTCTCCAACTGGAAGCTTTAAAGATTTTTATTTTATTTTATTTTGTACCTCCCGCACCAGCCTCCGCGCTCTGCCTGTAGGTAAGATAAACAATTTAGCTGGTACAATAAGTTCTTATGTTGTTACTGTAAAGGAATGGAAAGACTCAAATGTTAGAAATGTATATCGTCCCACTGCTTAAATATTATCACTCTGTGAGGTGCAACAACTGACACAAAGAGCAGCCATGAATCATCTGATGCTATTTAACAACCACCAAGTGAGCCTGCAAATAATTTCTCGGTGTCCTGAGAGGGAAATGGGGGGAGTGAGCCACTTAAACATCCTGTCAGGCGTAAAAGTCAAAACATTTTGGAGTTGCAGAAGCAAAGCCCGCAGATGTTCAGCGTAGAAAAGGTAATTATTTACTTTGAGTTTAGTCATTGTGGGCCTCGGACCACCGACGAAGTGACAGTCCGGCGTCGCCTCCTGGTTTTCCTCTGCAGGCTGCAGATCATCAGGGTGCTTCTGTTGTGACACCCTGGGGGGACTGGATGAGGGAACCTGGACCTGAGACAGAAGGAGTCCACAATCCTTGGCACCTCGAAGGACCCCGGGTACTTCCTGAACACGGCTGTACCAGCGCAGCAGACGGGGGAGGTGATGTAGAGTGTCTGCTGCATGGGCCTGGATGGAACACTATTAAAAAAGAAAAAAAGGAGAGATATTGATTGAATGAATCGACTGATCCGTCGTGTCTATTGAGGCGAGAGGTCCGGTTCCACTAGAAGTCACTCATCACACCTCTGTACAAACAAACAAACTCAGAGGGGGGGAGGCCAAAGACACAAACCGAGAGAGACATGATAACAGAGGCTGCAGTTGACTGTGTGTGACAGACAGATGACACAGGGGACACAGGACGAGTAAGAAGGAGCCGGCGGGGACAGCGTGCTTTGTGGGCAGAGACGGTCGTTAAAAGGAGACACGCTCCGCTGAGTGTGAAACTGGAAACCAGTGGAGCACAGCTGACTTCTAAAAGCCTCGAGGTGAGGACTTCAGCTGGTTCCCACACCAGACGGACAGTTGGAGACAGCTGAGGTGTCAAAACACAAAGGTTTGGACTAAGTTTTCTGCCTGACAGCAACATTATTAATTAAAATGTCCCGTCTGGCACTGCCAAACAATGAGCAGGAAATTCTGAATGTCTGAGAAGTTAGAATTTTATACTTTTGTAAAAATGACAAATAGCAGTAAGGAAAAAAGTTTAAACAACAGCAGGAAATCCTGCAACTGATAAAAATGACTATGTTAGGTTGATCTGACAGAGCAAAGTGATGCATCATTTTGAATTGAAAATGGGTGCAACTTTACTAGGCAAATACAAATCTAAAAAGTGTGGCCTGAATTTGCACCCTAAACAACACATAGTGCAACCAACAGCCTCCACAGGATTCTATATTAACATAGATGTTTAGATGGTGACAGAGATCTAAACTGAATTATTTATTTCATCCCTACATCTAAAAACATTATGCTCAGCAAAAACCCATCAGACTAAACATACAGTTCTACTGCAAAATAAAGCAGCAAGAGCCTCATGTTGTGAGAAATGTTTTTTTTTACCCAAAGAAAAGAGTAAAACCAGTAAAAGTTGATAAATGGAGCTAAATACAGGCCCACCACCAACTGAGGTGGAGCCGTTTTACAAAGAGTGGGCAAAACATTTGGTTTCTAAGGGTTGCTCTATAATGGATTGAATTAGGACGGGTAAATATGTATGAATGAAACACTTTTTAAATCAACAACCGGAAAGAATTTCCTGTCTTTTATATAAAATCCCTTAATCGGCGCTGCAAGCTTTACCAGGAGAAGCGTGTCTTCCAAGTCAATGACTCTATGCAAAGAATTGGTTTGATAGAAATTTAACCAATCTGATTGAATAGTTCTGTAAAGTGCCCAGAGATTAAATCCTATGTGAATTTGAGTTTTATAAATAAACTAGAGGTGGGCCATTATCGGCGTTAACGTGCTGCGTTAACGGCAGAGTCTTGTCAGGCAATATAAAAAACATTGCCGTTAATCTATTCTCAAAGTTGGGTTGGAAGCTAGGTCTATACCACGTAAGCGATGATGATTTTCACCTTAATATTTTAGTGCGGATGTATATCTGCAAGAACAAATCGGTCTTCCAACCTGTGTAGCCGTACTGTGAAATTACCACATTGAACGTGACGTTCTGACATGGATTCAGCTATAAAGCCCCCAGGTTTGCTTCATGGAAAATGTATTTTTAAATAAATGGAAATAAATGGAAAACTCTACAAACTAAAGCACTTTGTGCAATGCATAATTAGTTTACTGCAGGAGTTATTCCAGTCTCAAGTACCACCTAAACCAAAGCATCTCTTAGCCAATGCAGAAGAAGATGGGAAGTTCACTTTAGGTAGGCTATGTTATGGAATTTAAAATTTTATTTTCCTGCGACACCAGGAAAGATTACCAAAACATTACGTTTGTTTCTTGATGATTGCCTGGGTGAATGTAGGTAAAGTGAGACGGTTTTTGAAATTGTAGCGTCTGTGCTATTTATTTTAACTATATCATTTCTAGAGCTATAGTTTCATAAGATATAAACCTGTTCAAAGACTTAACTTTAATTATTATTTAGGTAGCACACAACTATCATGAATGTCTTTGACGGAATTTTAATAAGCCATTTTAATCTAGATTAATTCCAAGATTATAGTGAGATTGATAAAATCTATGCCCACCACTAAAACTAACTGAATTGAACTGAATTAAAGTTTGTGCTCTGGGATTTGCAGAGTTATGGGTCCTTTTGCACGGCACATCCAACACGCCATCTTGGATATCAGAGATTATAGAATAACTTGGGGGGTTTAATAAAAGCGTTTTCAAATGGTTTATATCAAAACATTGAATTGTCATATTCGCACTCGTCGGCTCCTGCTTCATATGGGACCGGGCCAGCAGTCTCAGCAGAACCCTCTTCCAGTTCTGCCGGGGGAAGCCCGAGGCACTCATAGACCAGCCCCCCAGCAAAATGATGGAATTCCCAGGAGGGGTACTATCCAACAAACACCCCCAGGGACACTAAGAAAGACTGTTACTCCGTAATGCTTTTTGAACCCTATGCCAAAAAAACAAAAAAACAGCCATAGACCTACACACTACCCAGAAGCGAAGGGATGCGACCCTCTCGTACCCTGGGCCAGACTCCAACGCGAGACAGCCAATATCGGGGGATGAAAGCAGTTCCACCCCCACCCTCGTTCTCTCCCAGCGGGCCACTTCAGAGTAGCAGAGAGTCAAGCCTCTCTCATGTAGCTGGATTCCAGAGCCCACGCTATGCAATGCCGGTATCCCTCCACCTCCCACAAGCTCAGGCTCTAATATTCCACATCCCCAAAGCCAATCTCAGCCACCGCGGACTGGGTGGCCTCCGCCTCTGACTGCCACCCAATCCTATTTGCAATGGAAGATGATACTGTGACTAAAACATTGCTTATTATTATTTTTGTATTATTATGGCAATATAAATTATGACTAATTCACATTTTCCATATTTTTTTTTATCCATTAATTTTTCCTGATCTAAGGTAACAGGTACTCTTCCTGAGATTTTGGATCTCAGCCAATAAACTGTGACTCAAGCGTGGGCATCAGTTCTGCTGAAACTCTCATCAGATGTGCATAAAAATGCTATATGCATGCAGAATTAGCATGCATGGCATCCTATCTAATATAGAAATGCTCTTATGCCATTGCACTTGTACACATAATGATAATGTGGTTCTTTAGATATATTGTGCAGCACTACTACTAAAATACATAAAGCTTCTCAGAATTCTGTGCATGCTTTGGAAGTAAAATCAACCCCTGTTTCAATTACTTTAAATGCAAACTATGAAGAGGAGATCATTACGGGATAATGAATATTCAGCATTTGTGAGCTTCAGGTCTCGACGTTCTGATTGCGTTTGAAGTTTTGGGGCCAGCATAAGAACCTGCTAAGAGGATCTGTCGAGGAGAGAAATATGCTCTCAGAAGAAATGCTTTCCAGCCTCCTGCATTTGAATAGAATCCCTCCCATACGGCGTTATCACTTTCTTCCAGGTGGGCCAGGACCAACTGTTAAAGCCAAAATGTGGCAGGTCTAAGGCAGTGAGTCACCTTGAGTCAACTTCTTCAACCTGAATGTGTCTGAGAGGAAGCTGCTGACCCTAACCGCAGCGTCAAAAACCAAATGTCCACCGTTCTTCCACTACTCATCACCATAAAGATGTCAGAGAGACTTTAAATGTGGCTCACGTGGCAATATGTGCACGACAACATGAGTTCTGATTGAAAGCAGTGGATGTTTTGTGGCAAATGTAATGGGAAATATTGTGTGTGTCTGTGTAAAAGGGGTGAATGGGAAATGATTTTAAAGCACGATATGTGTGGATTATAACATCAAATAAAAGGTGTTGCTCCAACTAAACCGCCACTAAACAAAGTCTGTTATTACATTAAAGGTAGTTTGTTAATTGCAGTAACAATGGTATGAACTTAGCTTATGATATGTATTCATTAAACTACACTACGCAATTATCTAAATAAAGCCCTTATTAATAAATTAGAATTGCTCACGGCAGTAATAAATCATTTATTTCATCCTGCTGGAAGGCCTTACCAGATAGTGATGAATGCAGGGCAGCAGCACCACATCAGTCAGGGTGAAGTAGAGTCCCTCAGCAAACACATGCTCCAGTTCAGGAAGATCTGTCGTCTTCACTTTCCTGATCTCAGAGTTCTCTCTAGTGGCTCCTGCTGGAACTGAATCCACAGCCAGTTTGGCCAGAGCCGCCCTGAGCTCCAGTCCTTCAGAGACCTGAGACGAGTCCAACTCAGGAGGTTTCTCTTGGCTGTTCTCTTCCATCCGCCTTTGCTCTTGAAGTTTCTGTCTGCGGATTTTGTCGTCATTGTGAACTTTGACGGGCTCAGCAAGTCGTTGCTCCAGGGTGAGGATAGCAGGAGGCAGCTGCTGGGCCTGGTTAGTGGGATTCAGGAGGTGCTCCTCAACTGCAGACGGGATTCCCAGTTCACACAGCCTGGTCCATTTGCTCACCTGAGAGGAAGATCACGTCAACGGTCAATAAAATATTATTCATAGAGTAACTGACACACCAAGAGACTAAAGTGCCTGACTGATTTATAATAGACAAAAATAAATAAATAAAATGAAACATTAGAACTGTAAATATAGTTATTTGTTTATATTACTGTTTGTTGTTTTTCAAGGCTGCACTTTATAAAAATGAAATTGTCTAGAGAGCTGTTCTAAATGAAATTTCTTTTTGTTAACACTTGTGTATAAAAAATGACAAAATAAATCTGTCTCAGTCTAAAGCCATGAAATAAGAAACGAAATACAATATGTACAGTAAAACTACAGTGAGGAAAATAAGTATTTGAACATATTTTGCAAGTTATCCCAATTAGAAATCATGGAGGGGTCTGAAATTTTCACCGTAGGAATATCTTCACTGTGAGAGACGTATTAAAATAAAATCCAGATATTACAATGTATGAGTATGATTTTGAACTAGTATTTGATCACCTGACAAAATCAATGTTACTATTTGCTTACAGTAGCCTTTGTTTGCAATTACAGAGGTTAAATGTTTCCTGTAGTTTTTCACCAGGTTTGCACACACTGCAGGAGGGATTTTGGCCCACTCCTCCACACAGATCTTCTCTAGATCAGTCAGGTTTCTGGGCTGTAGCTGAGAAACACGGAGTTCGAGCTCCCTCCAAAGATTCTCTATTGGGATTAGGTCTGGAGACTGGCTGGGTCACGCCAGAACCTTGATATGCTTCTTCCAGAACCCCTCCTCGGTTATCTTGGCTGTGCGCTTTAGGTCATTCTTATGTTGGAAGACTGAGCCTGTACCCATCTTCAATGCTCTAACTAAGGGAAGAAGGTTATGGTCATTCTGTTCACCACAAATTCAGACCCCTCCATTATTTTTAAGTGGGAGAACTTGCAAATTGGCAGGGTGTTCAAATACTTATTTTACTCACCTTATCACCTTAAAGGAATACGACCAGTTAAAAACAATAAAATCATCCTGATGCTTCATATTTCTTGGACTTACAAGCCACATTTTAAATATTATGATTCTATAAAAGCGGTTTTAAAATTATTTCACAACCTTACATGACTTACAAATATCTTTTTTTTTTTTTTAATCCTACAATTTGATTTCTTGGATTTTTTTTTCCTCATTTCGTCTCTCTTAGTTGAAGTGTACCTATGATGAAAATTACAGACCCCTCTCATTTGTCTAAGTAGGAGAACTTGCACAATCAGTGGCTGACTAAATACTTTTTGGCCCCACTATATATGAAAATAAACATATAATTAAAGCAAAAGCATCTATATGTCGATCCCAGTCTTCCAGAGAGGCTGTCCCTGCATGTTTCAGATGCTCTTCATCTTGTGGGAATCAAATGGCTCAGCAGATTCAGCTTCTTTTAAATGAGGTGTGTTGGTCAACAGATATAAGAGCTGATGAGACTCTTCAACCACAAATGCTACATGACACAATAGATGGACAAAGTATGACACATGCAAAATGTATTTTTGTTGCCTTTTGAACAAAACGCGCACTGAGATGTCTTTAGATGTCAGTGACTTATCTACTTTATCCTGATCAATCTGTGATTTTGTTTTACTGCTCACCTCTGCACATGCCTTCAGGCAGGTTTTCTTGAACCCCAGCAGAGCCTGCACGTCATTCCTGCAGGGGTCAGCCTCGATGGTTCTAGTGATGATGTTCCTGAGGACCACTGCCAGCCCGGCTCTGCAGAGCCGTCCACTCTCATCTACGGAAGCCGGGAGGCGGCAGCTCCTCACCAGCCGAGGCAGATGCTCCGGGGTGAGGAGTTCTGACCCACTGAGAGACCCCGGGAACTGAGCCTTGAGAGACTCGGAGCAGCTTTTGTTGCGGCTGTCGCTGCGCACAAGGAAAACTTTAAAAGACTTGGTCTCGCAGTAAGACAGCAGGAAGAGGACAATGGAGGTGTGCATGGGCAGATGAGGCTCCTCATGGGAGCAAACCTCCAAATAGAGACACGAACGCTGCTGCTCTGCTACAGAGTGTTTCATTTTAAAAAGAGGAAATACTGAGGAGTAACATGAAAGATAATTGGAATTAATAAAATGTCATTTGTGAACCAAAATAGCAGACTGTATTCACATGGCATCCATATTACTTACAAACACTAGAAACACATGGCTGTTTACAGCTGCTTCTTCTTCTTCCTCCTCTGGGCACACCTGAAATGACTCTAGAGGGCCCTCTGCTGGCTGCAGTTTGCATTAAAATGTGACAGGAATCTCAATGTTTGGGTCGTGCAAGAAAAAAAAAACACTTTCTTTTGCACCTAAACATTTTTTGCTCAGATGCAAACTCCAGCTCTCTTACACTAACCACAATCACCAACATTAAATGAAATAAAGCCTGGAATTATTTCACGCTCTGTTTCACGAGTTTTCATATTCAAGACTTTCTTTAAAATAAAATGTATTTTATTTTGACCTTTTTTAAAGGTTTCAAATCGATCGAGTTTTTCCAGAATTGCTTGAGCAACTAAATTTAGTTTTCTCATAAACTAAATCTATAATCATCAAAATTATAATAAGTAAAAGTTCTAAAAATAAAAATACTCCTGAAGTTTTAACATAATCATTTTAATATAACCAATAAGTGAGAACTTCTGGCGGTTGGCAACAAACATTTTGTAGCATTTCCGCCACTTACTGGTATGGAGTGTAGTTCGTGATGGACTATCTACTTAAAAAACATATATATAATTTCTAAGGAAAAAAAGAAAACAAAAAACAACAACAAAAAACTATATACTTATACATAACTTTGTATTCTACCCGTCTATATCAAACACATATTCACCCTCTTTATAATCAAATTCTATGAAATAATTTCATTTTCTTTAAAAATCTAATAATTATCTGTATATTTTTACTTCCCAAATTCTTCCTCAAAATGTCTAATAAATTAATCTTTTCCTGAATAAATTCAAACTCTACTCATATATCTTCTCTGGCTTTCGTATTTATGACATTCCAGTGTAACATGTTCTATTTTTTCATATCACATTTGCCAGTAGTATGCTTTTGAATTTTGAAAAGTGTATAATTAAGCCCTGTTTACCCAAATCTTAACCTTGTTATCACTCTCTCCTCCTTTCTATTTCGTCTTCCATTTCTTCTTTTTCCTACCATCTTCTTTATTTTATAAAACCATCTTCCTGTATTTTTCTTCATCCCACCTTCTTTTTGCCATTTTTCCATCAGTTTTTCTTTAATAATATTCTCCCTCCGGTTTACTTGTCTTTACTGTAAAACTAACAGGATTTTGAATTGCCCTCTTTGTCATTTTATCTGCCCTCTCGTTTCCTTCTACTGCAATATGTGCTGGAACCCACAAATACAGCAATCAAACCCATGTTTTTTTATTCTGAATAACGTATGAAATATTTCTAATAAAATGTCCATCCTGCTATCTGGCTGATTATATTTTAAACTTAATAACGCAGAGGTTGAATCTGAACAAAAAACTATTTTTAATGGTTTTATGTCTTCTATCCATTGTAAAGCTAATAATATTGCCAACATTTCCCCTGTGTATACTGATAATCCATCTGAAGTTGGTTTTCCTATTTTTATATAAAATTCTGGTATTACAAAAGCTATTCCTATTTTCCTTGTTAGTTTTGATGCATCTGTATAAATTTAAATATATTGATAATAATTGTTTAAATGTAACTGTACTAAACTAATATTTACCGTGTACAATGTATCTTGTTTCTTTTCCATTAGTGACACATCTACTATTGCTTCTGGTAGAATCCACGGTGGTATAACTCATATTGGTGTAGTTTGAGTAATTTCTAAATTAGTCATTTTAAATAATTTTATTTTGTTTTCAATTTTCCATCCAAAACTTCTAATTTCTTTCTTTTCTTTTTCCCAACATGGGTTTAAAATTTCCCAAGTTGGATGATCAGAGTTATTACCTTGTAGAATTAACCAATAATTTATTTCTAGTTTTGTTCTTCTTAAATCCAATTTTTTATGGCATTTCTCCCATTTCTACTTGCATTGCTGCTGTTAATGTGGTTTTAAATTCTCCAGTAAATCTTAATGCCTTCCTTCTTTTTTTATAGCGGTTGGCAAGCAACTTATTGATGTGCATTACCGCCACCTACTGGAAGGGAGTGTGGGTCGGGCTGCTATATATAAATTCTCCCACAAAAAAAAAGAAAAAAAAAAAAGGAAAAAAAAAACTTATAATACGTAATTAAGTTAATAAATCTTATATTCTTTCTATCAATTTCTTTTTCTTAAGGTAATTAATAAAATAAGAATAGAGATGTAGAAGTAGAAAGTTTGTCCAAAATATCTTGTATATTTATTTGCAAATTATTTTACTAAGGGAGAACAACTTTTACCATAAACTGTCACATATGGTTCCGACCATGTATACTCCGGACATATTAGACAGTTGCACCAAAACGGTAGTTGCTTGCTGCGGTGGAGGAAACGCCGCTCATCTTCCGTTGTTCTCAAACTGAAAGCGTTCCGATCACATTAAAGAGAAGCACATTAGGGTCAGGTAAGGCTGTTTAAAGACAATTATGCTGAAATCAGAAAGGTTTGTTTGAGCGCCGTTTTAATAATGAAGGTAACTTTAGCTCTCAGGGTTCCTGCGCTCTTTTCAGCGTCACACAACAAATATAAGCTGTAGAAACAAAGACAACTGGCTGAGTTTTGAGAGATCTTTGGCAACGAAAAAGGAGGGGTTAGTAATGCTAGTTTAATAATCTAATATCACGTGGTTTTAATGTGTACATCCAAGTCTTGCTAAAATATATATTTCCTCTCATTATTTTTTATAGAATTGACAGTTTTTCTAATTAAAATGCGACTTTCAGCATTGATGATCAGGTCTATGACCCCTCCCTCCCCCTGTTTTTTTTATTTTGTTTATTTTTATTTTGTTTCTTCTATTATATATAATTTTTTTTATTGATTTCTTGGGTGGCTTTATTTATACTAATTTACAGTAATCATAGTTTAATTAGATCCTTGTTCTCAACTCTTCCAGTTGCACAATATTTTATATATATATTGTTAAGAACTCTTACCCAGTGTGAAAAGGATGTGCACATGGACACACATCTCTACTGTAATGTGCATTGCTTCCTAATAAAAAAAATTATATAGGCTATATATATTTTAGTCTATGTAAAAAGTGTTTAAAAAAAAGAAGTATGCTATGTGTCATTGTTGAGAAGACACGCCCAGGTTCATTTAAAGTTCTAGCTCCACACCATAGACCCACCCCACAATTCAGACTTTTAGTTGCATCATGCTTGTGGCAATGCCTTTCTTTTTGTCTTTCTTTCATAGGGGCCAGATTAAAACATCTGTTGTTCATATTAAAAAATATTTTCTCTTTTTTTGTGGAATTGTGTGGAAGTTTTGTATAGAGGGAAGGAACAATAAATCAGGAAAAATAACAGGAAATCAGTGTTATTAAAAAAAAAAAATAAAAAAACCCAGCGGCACAGTCCTGTTTAAGTTGTAAAACTGGATGCTGAGCACTTTTCATTATTCCCATTTTCACAGCCATGGCTGGACCTGTGAGCTTGGAGCTGGATCCCATCTTTCTGAAAGGACTCAGTTACCTACACTCAAAGAGTAAAGACTCAGCTGAGAAACTCAAAGCTCTGCTTGACGAGTCCCTCGCAAGAGGAAGTGACTCCTCCTACCGCTCGCTGCAGAAAGTAAGAAATACATCAGTGAAGTCCCAGTTTACACTGTGATGTCCTCTCTGCGTTTGCTCAGCATGCACCATGATGACAGCTAATCGCCTGTGCTTTCCTTGTTTAATCCTCAGGAGGTGGAAGTGTCAAAGGTTTCCGTGTCAAAAAGTAAACAAGACTCCAAGTCGTCGGGTTCCTCTGTGGCTATCAGCGGCGGAAGCAGCAAATCCAGCTCTGAGAAGAGTAAGAAAGAGGTGGAGAAGAGGCCATCAGAGAAGGTACAGGAGACATTTTCTATTGTTAGAACAGGAAAGTTTGGCTTTACAGCAAATCTTAGATAACCGTAAAGAAATATGCTGATCCTGTGTAGAGATATTCATTCTTGATCATGTTTAAAAGTCATGAAATCATTTCTGATAATAAACATAAAAGCTATGAATATTATTCTTGCTAATGATGTTATTTAAAGTGGAAAATAAAACAGGGCATTAATTTAGTCAAATCTCTAAACAACTGATCTGGAAAAGCTGTGTTCAATTCAAAAAGTAGCTTCTGAGCCTGCTTGAAGTCCAGCTTAAGGTGGGATTTTCATCCAGCTGCTTTAGTTCCATTTGCAGGAAATTTTAGTTTAAGGTTTTCATTAGTTTCTTCATTGTTCCTTTATTTCCTTGTTTTCTTGTTCTTCGTTTATTTATTATGCTATACGAGTGATTGTGTCTGTTGGTGCTGTGTTGTTGTTTCTAGAAACATGCATTCCTAGAGGTACCAACCAAATGGATTAATAAAGTTAATGTGAATCTTAGCTTAAATAGAAGGTTTGGTTATGGGGTGATAAAGACCTAACTTTGGTGGAGCCACGGTTTTTATAAATGAGAAAACAAAAGTAGCAATGTAGGGTTGGGCAATTAATCAGAAAAATCAATTAAAAAAACTTTAAAAAAAAGTTTAATTAAAAAAAACAACAACTATACTTTATGAAGATTTCTTTTTTTTTCTTCTTTTTTTTAAACATTTCCCTTGTGGGGCATCCATTGCTCAGAGTGACATCAGCTCATCACTTTTTTATAACTGATAAACCAGCTCACTGTCTAATACCAGATGTAAACATTTAGTTTGTTTTATTTTCATTGTTTGTTGTAAAACAGTTATTTATTAGCATTTTCATAGCTTGAATTTTGTTGCCCTTTAAATTAAGCTCACCTCCCAAAGGGGAAGATTGAAAGTGATTTATGTTATTTGACACTTTTATTTTGAAACATAAGGAAGAAAAAAATCAATCCGATTTTGGAGGATTAGATTAAATGATTAAACATAAAGATTGTGTTCCCTAAATGCTCAGCCAGAGTATTTAAGTAGTATGCTATAATATGTTTAATTGTGACGTGTTGAGGAAATAGTAAATTTTTTAGCTTTAGAAAATG